AATAAATCAAAACATAACATTATCGTTATCACCATTATCGTTTAATATATCTGATCATCTTGTCAATGTACCCCTTCGCACCAATTCCCAGCACTTAAAAGGTAATCAAAATTTCTAACCAAAATTTTCACGTTTGTAAGCTGCATCTTAACATATCCATTATTCCTGATAGTCTAGCGCGCAAGGTATGAGCAAATCAATCAATCAATAATAGTAGTCGATATCGCTCATAGACGGCAACTGAGATTTCCTTTCTATTCGCTGTTTTTGTAAAAAAAAAATTCTGATCTTCTTTTAACAGTAAATTGTGTATCAGTGTACTACTCGCCATGCTATCTAGGCTGTAGTGTAAGGTCTATGAATAATTCTTGGCCCATGGAAACGATGCTGCATGTGCTCCCACAGCCATCGTGCCATCAATGGTGAAAACTGCAAAGCAAGCTCCATACAGAGTAATGACTATAATGAGAACCTGACTAGGCATCCACATTCCTCAGTATTGTAAAAAGTGTTTCGAGTTTCAGACCATCACATTTCCTTGTTCTTTAGAACCACTTGCGTACCTGACACCCAACCAGCACACACCTTTCACACGCTGCGTACTCATAAACGTCATTTCTTTTACGATGGTACGGATCCATGCTCAGCTCTTGCGTTTTGCGGCTATAGAGTTAAATGCGTGAATCTTATCATCAACTTTGTTCGTTAATGCAGCGGCGCCGTGCTTCCGCAAAATGCCGGTTTGTTTTGCAATTTGCAATTTCTGATTTCAAATCAAAAGTCCTGCGTACAATGCCACGCATCAACAACGCGTTGTAAGCGAGCTAACACCACCTGCGCTTTCCACTACCTTCGTATTATCTACTTTATGAGAGAGAGAGAGATTATCGACATGTCTCAGTAGCTTAACGCAGTATTTTAAAAAACCTAGATTGAATTGTGAGGATTCGATGAACTAGATATTTATCTTACGCAGAGATGATTCTATGACCCGCAATTCCAGGCTCCTAATGTCCTTCAGAGACTTCATTAGTATGCTATGATGTGCAGCTATTATTATACTGACAAAGAAATGGCAGGCAATCATGCACTTGAGAGCGCGTTGGGAGCAACTTGAAATTTTGATGTGCTATAAAGCTCATAAGCAGTGCTAATGAGCTTTGTGCATGTCAAAATTTAAGGTAATCACGATATCGCATTCCCAAATATATTCTAGGCAAACCACACAAGAAACTCCACTGTGGATAGTAATTAGGAAGCCCCTTAGTTTTTCTAATTTGCTGCAACTATTTTCTCATTTAGTCTAAATAGATTTGCATGACATACCACATTACAGCAAAAACATTTGTAAGGTGAGACTAGTTCACAGATTACTGTTTTGCGTATTTCAGCTGGACCACCACTACTTTGATAATAAGTGAACAGAAAGATATCTTCAGTTTATATGTTTTATGAATTCTAGCAATTCCCCTTCTCATCTTCTCCTTATCGTGAGACCTCTACATTACGGCTTTCAATAAAAGGATATTGCGGTAAGTGCAAAATATCGCTACGTCAAAAGGCCACGAGTTTTTCTACGCTAGTTACACTATTGTACATAGTGAAGTTCTCTAGTCGAATGTTCTGTTCTTCGAAAGTTCTATGTGGTGTAGTTCCCTGCACTGTGCACCAATGTTTTGATTATCTATTTAATGATAAAAATCGCTCTGTGGCACTTACATTTAATCTACTATCCCTCATCCTTCGAGAAACATACTCGAATTCATTAGACAAGAGGCCTTCTACTCACATACTACCTCAGTACGGGGTGTATCAGATACGGCGTAGCGCGGAGGAAAGAGAGCTTGCTGATACCCACTTTGTACTGTAGCGTTCCACAAACAATTTATTGATCGATTTCATTGAAAAGAATCTGGAACGTTCAACGGTGTGGGAGTTATTTAAACTACATTACGCTTAGTACTATAATATCACATGGCCGAAGGGAAAGGAACAGGACCTGTGTACTTTGTACATTTTTTCTCAAAATACCAAATTATCCGTAGAAAGTAATCTTCATTTGGCAAATCTAGGAACGTAAAAATCAATAATTCATGGAATAAGTAGTTTGTTAATCGTTTATCAACATTTCGATGCATCTCCTTCTTGTTATAAGAAGGCTCTCTGATGTATACAATAACACTCCCTTATGCTATAGTATTGTATTACCTCAATCGATATAATTTTT